GGACACATCTCTTGGGGTCATCGCCAGTGTCCTGACCCACTGTTTCCCCCCCCGCCCCGACAGCAATCCGCTTCGGCCGCATGCCGGAGGCAGAGAAGAGGAAGCTGGTGGCAGGGCTGACGGCGAGTGAGATCAGCTGCCAGAACCCGCAGGTGGCTGACCTGAAAGCTTTCTCCAAGCACATCTACAATGCCTACCTGAAAAACTTCAACATGACCAAAAAGAAGGCGAGGGGTATCTTGACCGGGAAGGCCAGCAGCACCCCAGTAAGTTTCCTCCCCCGGGACAGGCGGGGTTGGCCATGAAAGAACACGGGAGGCTGTTCTCTGGGAGACGCTGCACATCTCCCTCCTGCTGTAGCTGTTCCATGTGCACCAGTTCCCAGCTGCAGCCAGGTGGGCTCCACACGTCCTGCCCCTCGCTGGGAAAATTCCCATTGCTCTGCAGCCTTGTGCTGTTGTGGGTGGGTGCAGATTGCCCGGGCACTGACAGGCAGACAAATGCGAGTGTCCTTGGCCAGAGCCAGTATCTCGAGTCCTTGCAGCAGGTTCCTAACCACTCACTTCTTTGTCAAGCAGCCTTTTGTGATCCACGACATGGACACCTTGTGGCAGGCAGAAAAGGGGCTGGTCTGGAAACAGCTGGTGAATGGCATTCCCCCCTACAAGGAGATCGGGGTGCACGTCTTCTACCGCTGCCAGTGCACCACGGTGGAGACTGTGCGGGAGCTCACAGAGTTTGCCAAGAGCATCCCCAGCTTCATAGGCCTCTACTTGAATGACCAAGTGACTCTGCTGAAGTACGGGGTGCACGAGGCCATCTTTGCCATGCTGGCCTCTATCATGAACAAGGATGGGCTGTTGGTGGCCAACGGGAACGGCTTTGTGACCCGCGAGTTCCTGCGTAGCCTGCGCAAGCCCTTCAATGAGATCATGGAGCCCAAATTCGAGTTTGCTGTGAAATTCAACGCGCTGGAGCTGGATGACAGTGACCTGTCTCTGTTTGTGGCTGCCATTATCCTGTGTGGAGGTGAGCGGGCGCTCTTGGCTGTGCGAATCTCGGGAAGACTTCTATGCTTAGATGTGGTTGGGGCTGGGCTGGGGGAGCTGAGCTGCAGCTGGCCCTGAGATCAGCCAGGGGTGTCTTACGGGGACGAGAGAAGAACTGAACTGTTCCAAACCCAAAGCTTCTCCATGGCGGCGATGCCTAGCAAGCTTGGACCAAGAACAAGGAGCATAGAATTGGCATCTCCTTCTCATACGTTGCTGTGGGATATGTTGTCCAAGGGCACATTTCTCCCCTTGTCTAGTTGACAAGGTTGGAGTCACGGTGGGTGGGTTACGGTCCCCGTCTCCCTTTCCCCAGGAGGAGCATGTGCTTTGGAGGGCTACACCCTAACACCGCAGCTACCGTGCTTCCTCTCCACAGACCGTCCTGGCCTGATGAACGTGAAGCAGGTGGAGGAGATCCAAGACAACATCCTGCGAGCGCTGGAGTTTCACCTGCAGTCCAACCACCCGGATGCCCAGTACCTCTTCCCCAAGCTGCTGCAGAAGATGGCCGACCTGCGGCAGCTGGTGACGGAGCACGCCCAGCTGGTGCAGAAGATCAAGAAGACAGAGACGGAGACATCTCTGCACCCGCTTCTGCAGGAGATCTACAAGGACATGTACTAAGGACCTGTTATTTATGAGAATGAAGCCATGGATTCCCATCGAGACTCTTTGTACAAAAACAAAGAAATCCTTTCCCCATGTCTTCCATTTCTTCTACTGGAAACTTTTCTACGTGACCCTGACGTACGGTACATAGGGCAAGATGCCGTAAGGTTTTGCAGCCGCCACCTGCTAGGCCAGGGCTTCCGTTAACACACACTAACAAATTTACAAAGGCAAATCATAAGCTACTGTTTCCGTTACCTCGGCCCAGCTTTTCAGCTGCTCTCCGGGGCCTCTGGAGCGGCCGGTTTACATGGCCCGGACGGTGGGGTTCCTGCAGCAGCTTGAGAACGGTTAGGGATGCTCTGGTCGTTAGGAGACCTGAGCGCGGTGCGGGTATCCGGCAGGGCCAGCAACAACACTTGCAGCGTGTCTTTATTTTCTTTCTTATATTGCACTCCGAAGACGTAGTCCTGAGCCGTGAAGTCTAGGACAGTGTAACGAAAGGATGTTTCTCTCTTTCCCAAAGAAAAGCCAGATATTTGAAGACGGGTAGGGCTGTCCTAGCAGAGACCCTCAGCTGCAGCCCCGCCTCGCTGTGTGTTCCTGTCACCCAGAGGGACTGTGTGATCTCCGTCTTCCCCTGAGTGCCGTGGGGGAGCCCTTGCTCCTGGTACCCCTGTTTCAGAGGGAACCTGCCCCTCGGCACCTCAGTATGAGAGAGGGAGGGATGGGGAGGTGGGAGGGAAAGGGCTTGACTCATAAAAATTCACTTCCAGAGCAAAGGCCAGAATCTGTTTGCTTCCCCAGGCTTTTCTGCGCAGACAGGAGTTACCAAAAAGCTCTGTGCAGGGCCAGGGGCAGGCATGGGACTGGTCGGGGTTTAGGTGGCAGGGCTTGCAGCTTGTCCTGCAGCTCCCTTCCCAAGCCCCGGGGGGCTCTGGGGGTCCGGCAGGGCAGTGCGGGCAGCAGAGGCTCCCTAGCAGCACAGCTCCAGAGCAAGCAAAGCCTTCAGCAACCCAAGGGGAAAGCAAAGCCACAGCCGGCCCCCATCACTCATGATGCTGAAAGGGCATTGACCTGCCAATGCCCTGCCTCAGTTTCCCCTCTCTGAAAGGAAGCTGGATTGTCACCCGCTCTCTGCTCAGAGGGGAGCAGGAGGATTGATTAGTGCATCGGTTGCAAAGAGCTTTGCAGCTGTAAAACACAGGATAAATGCCAAGTATTTATAAAAGGGAGGGGAGAGGGTGGGATGCTCACAATGAGCAGGAGCTTCCCGGCGAGCATGGCCGGGTCGGGGAAGCTGCCCTGCGCTCCTCTGCCGCGTCCCGAGTGTGGGCACAGCTCCAGGCTTTGGGGTCTGCCTAAACCCAGAACCCTTCTGGGACTTTACCTCGCGACTTCTCGCAGCTGTAGTGAAACGCCACGATGCTGCCTGTGCCCGGGACAGGACCCCTGCCTGGGGGGCTGCGGCACCCAGGCTCTGGGAGAGGGGACGGAGCCGGGAAGGGCTCGGTCCCCTCCCGGGGCGATGGTGTCTGACCTAAGAAGCAGCGCTTACCCGTCTGCAGCTCATGGTCCCCTGCGGCCTGAGCAGCCTTATTAAAACACTGATATTCCCAAGGAGGGGTCGTGGGAGCAAATCAGTCGGTTTTATTTTATTTGCCTCCTCTTCAGGGTAGCAGGTTTCCCTGGTGCAATAATTCCTTTAAAACCCAAAGGGGAAGAGCGCTGGGCTTCCCCTCCGTGTCACAGGGCTGGCCGGTCCCAAACCTGCCCCTGCTGCCGCCCTCCGGCTCCTTCCCGTGCCTCAGTTTCCCTGCCCGCTGCCCACCCAGCCCCTTCCCCTCCCTACCTCGCAGGGGTGTTATGAATTACCGTTTCTAAAGCACTTTGAAGCTCTCTTGGGGAAGGCACCAGCGTGTGCTGGATGGCACCCAGGGGATTTGTCCTTCCCGAAGCCCCGGTGGCATCCCCTGCCGCGGCCGGCACACAGGACTTGCGTGCTCATCACCTGGGGAACTTTTTGCTTTTCCCTCCTCGACAGCGTAACAACCCTCAAACTGAAATGTATATTTTTGCTAGAAGTACAAACCTCCAAGTGTTTTTAATAATATAAATAGTGTCCACAAACTGACTTGACTTTAAATAAATCTGAACTAAATATTTAAGAACTTTTTAGCGTCCAGCCTTTCTTTGTGGGATTTCTCTCCGCCCCGGGGGGCTGCCCTTGGGAGGGTTTTCCAGCAGAGGCGATGGGATTTGCTGGATTTGCTGTGATTTCCAGGGATTTGCCGTGATTCCCAGGGATTTGCCATGATTCCCGGATCTCTGCGGTTCCCAGGTCTCATAGATGCTGTGGTTTTCCTGCTGGCCTTCCCCATCAAACCCAAAAGCAGCGAGAGCCGGTCGTGAGCAGGGTCCCAGCCTCTGAGCCGAGCGTTTCTTGCCCCAAATCTTCGCCGTGGCCCTTGCTGCGGGGTGAAGCTGGGCAATGAGCCGAGCCTGGCCGGTAGCCACCTCAAGATAGGCCACGATGGGCTCAGGAACAGCCCGGCCATGTGCTGGCTCCGGGCTCAGCTCTTGGCCGGGTCTGACCACCCCGGCGTTGGCGGGGAGCAGC